ACTTGTCCTGCATGTAATAATGCATTATCTCCCCTAAATAAAGGTTTATGTTTATTATATTGATGTATATTATTACTATATGGATCCTCCCTCATACTCCTACTCTTAGGGTCATAAAAAGCAGAAAATAAATTTAAATTTAATAAATATTTAGCTGTATCTTCTCTTATTCGTAGATCTCTAGTATTTATCCTATTTCTTTCGTCTTTGCATGCAATTACACCAGAAGTTTTATCAAAATCATGTATCTTTATATCCTCATCTTCTTCTTCTTCTTCTTCTCCTTCTGTATCTGTATCTGTATCTGTATCTGTATCTGTATCTGTATCTGTATCCTTATCTGTCTCCTTATCAGTTCCTGATTCATTATATCTACTTTTTTCTCCTTCTCCTTCTCCTTCTCCTTCTCCTGCTGCTGCTGCTGCTGCTGCTGCTGCTGCTGCTGCTGCTGCTGCTGCTGCTTGTGTCTCTGCCTTGGATTTTAATTCATTTGCTTTCTCTAATAAGGATGATGCATCTGGACGTCCTGCTGCTGCTGCTGCTGCTGCAGTTGCTGCTGCTTCTTTTGCTTCTTTCTCTGCTTCTTCTGCAGCAGCTTGTGCAGCTTGTGCAGCTTGTGCAGCAGCAGCAGCAGCAGCAGCAGAATGATAATTTATTTCTTTTTTTTTATTATTTAATTTATTTAATCTTTTTTCTTCTTTTTTACGTAATTTTTCTTCTTTTCTTAATAATTTATTTTTTCTTTTTTGTTCTCTTCTTCCTACAGCAGCACCACTACCATTACCACCATCTTGCTGCTGCTGCTGCTGCTGCTGCTGCTGCTGCTGTAGTTGCTGCTGCTGCTCCCTTAATTTTAATCTTTTTCTTTCTTGTTGTGCTAATTCATACTCCTTTATTGGTATAAGGAAGTCTGATCCATCATAGCCCTTATATCTGTCCCTTTTTGCATCATAAGATACATAATAAGAAGAAAAAGAGGAAGAAAAAGGAGACAATTTATTATTATTATTATTATTATTATTATTATTATAATTATAATTAGGTATATATTCATCAGGACATAGATTATTATTAGTATATTTAGCTTTTTTTTTTCTTGGTCTCTCTGTGCATGCATTATATTGATGTGTATTACTACCACAATTAATGCATGCATATTTATTATATTTTATCTTAATATTTTGGGGCTTTTCTTCTATTTCTCCCTTATTTATATATTTATTTATTAATTCTTTATCTATTTTTCCTTTATATCTTTGATGTTTTAGTCCTCCTTCTTGATTAAGGTACCAAGGGGCCTTAGATATATATTGAGGTATATGAGGATTTATCTCATTACTTGTATTGTTGCTGCTGCTGCTGCTGTTGCTGCTGCTGCTGCTGCTGCTGCTGTTATCTTGTTGAGGGGGAGGGGGATCTGCTGCTGCTCCTGCTGCTCCTGCTGCAGCTGCAGCAGAGGTCCTAACCCGTTTGTCATCTCCATCATGTATACCCATCTTTTCTTATTATTATTAATTAGTACTATTTATCCTACTGCTGCTGCTGCTGCTGCTGCTGCTGCTGCTGCTGCTGCTGCAGTTTATATATGACACTAAAGAGGAACAACGTTGGGTCCCTCAACAAGCAGCTGCTGCTGCTGCTATTGCTGCAATTGCTGCAGTTGCTGCTGCTGCAGTTTTTGTTGTTGCTGCTGCTACTGTTAATTATGATGATGATAATGTTTTTCTTCTACTGCTGCTGTTGCTGCAGTTGCTGCAGTTGCTGCTGCTGCTGCTGCTGCTGCTGCTTATATGATACTTTAGAAGGAATATGGTGGAGGAGGCCCTCAAGGTTTAGTAATAGCAGCTGCTGCTGTTGCTGTTGCTGCTGCTGCTGTTGCTGCTGCTGCTGCTGCTGCTGCACTTAATAAGCAATATAATTTAATTATAATTGCTTTATACGTCAACAGAAAAACAAAAAAAAATGTCCTATTGCTGCTTCTGCTGCTGCTGCTGCAGTTGCTGCTGCTGCTGCGGCTGCTGCTGCACGGGTAGCAGCAGCAAGAGGTTTGCTGCTTCTTTTTGCTGCTAAATACAAAATAAAATATAAAAATAAAAGAAAATATAAATACCTATAACATAAACAGCAGCAAAAACTGCTGCAGCAGCAACAGCAGCAGGAAGGGAGCAATACCGTATAAAAGGGCCCCTCTCTGCTGCAGCGCAGCAGCAGCAGCAGCAGCAGCGGCAGCAACACCAGTTGCTGCAGCACGTAAATCTACAAAAGAAAGAAAATTAAATTAATAATAAACTTTATGTCTTAATAATATGCAAAAAAACACCACAAGTACACGAGCAGCAGCAGCAGCTGCTGCTGCTGCTGCTGCTGCGGCTGCGGCAGCTGCTGCTGCTGCTGAGCCCCGAACTTGCTGCTGCTTGTTTAATAACAGCAACAGCAACTGCAGCAACAACAGCAGCAGCAGCAGCTGCTGCTGCAAGAGTTTTATGTTGTCTTCTTTGTTTGTTTATTTTTGTTTATTTTTCTTTTTTATTTATTTATATAATAATAAAAGACAAACAACTTCGGGTGTATATACAGACACCTGGATCTGCAGAAGGAGCAGCAGCAGCAGCAGCAGCAGCAGCAGCAGAGCAGCAGCAGCAGCAGCAGCAGCAGCAGCAGCGGCGGCTGCTATTCAAGAATCTTCACATGTGTGCTTTGAAGGGAAAGAGTTGTTATATATTTATATTATTAACTGCTGCTGCACAAGAAGCAGCAGCAGCTGCAGCAGCAGCAGAAGCAACAGCTGCAGCTGCAGCAGCACGAGGCCCTACTTGCGGATGCAGTTGGCCTTCTGCTGCATTTGCTGCAGAAAGGAGACACCTGTCTCCTTAATAGAAGCAGCAAAAGGAGACACATGATGTCTTTATATAGATAATATTTCCTTTAGCAGCAGCAGCAGCAGCAGCAGCAGCAACAGCAGCAGCAGCATTATCTCCCGAAACCACTGGTCTGCTGCTGCAACAAAAGCAGCAGCTGCTGCTGCTGCTCTTTTTTTTCTTCTTCTTCTTGCTGCTGCTGCTGCCCCATCAGGAGAGCAACGTTACGAGATTAGTCTGCTGCTGCAGCGCAGCAGCAGCAACAGCAGCAGCAAAACTAGCAGCAAACAAGCAGCAGAACTTGAATCCCTAGTAGCCGCTAAAGCAGCCAAGAGCAGCAGCTGCAGCAGCTGCAGCATCGGCAGCACCAACTGCATCTCCAGCAGCAGCAGCAGCAACAGCAGCAGCAACAGCAGCAGCAGCAGCAGCAGAAGCAGCACATAAGGGATGATGATGCAAGACATCGATTGTAACCTGCAGATGTCGAGTGCATGCATTTGCCCTGCAGCAGCAGCAGCAGCAGCAACAGCAGCAGCAGCAGCAGCAACAGCAGCAGCAGCACCAGCAGCAGCAGGAGATGGCCCACCACTATCACCCTCATCATCATCATCAGCAGCAACAGCAGCTACAGCAGCAACAGCAGCAACATCACCACAAGCAGCAGCAGCAACAATAGCAGCAGCAGCAGCAGGATCGGATATTCATGACATCAGCTCATCAGCAGCACCTGCTGCTGCTGCAGTGTACAGCAGCACAGTAGATCAGCAGCAGCAGCAGCAGACAGCATCAGCAACAGGAACAGCAGCAGAAGGAGGAGGAGGAAGGAGACTATATAATTTATTATTATATATATATAATGCATGCAAAGAGTTGCTGCTGCTGCTGCAGTTATGTATTGGGGTGTATGCATGCGGTGTATATGATGGGGTGTCTATACACCGTTGCATGCATTTTTTACGTAAATGTATAATAATAAAAAAAAGAACAATAAAATATTTATTATTTAATTTATTTATTTATTTATTTATATTTGCTGTTATTATTCATCTTATTTCTCCTTTATTCTTGCTGCTGCTGCTGCTAATTCTTAGATCTGCTGCTGCATGCATTTATCTTGCTGCTGCTGCACATGAGACTTTTGCTGCTCTTTCTTCAGGGTCATTAACACATGCTATTGCTGCTGCTGCTGCTGCTGCTGCAACAGGTGCAGCAGAAGGAGATGCATGGGCTGCTGCTGCTGCTCCTGTACTAGAGACTGTGGGTTTGCTGCTGCTGCGCTATGTTGTCCTCTTCCCTGTATATGCATGCAGCAGTGTCTCCTCTTTCTTATGGTGTGTAGATGTTGCTGAGCATGCAACAGCTATACTGCAGCAAGAAGAAGCAGCAGCAGCAGCAGCTGCTGCTGCTGCTGCTGCATCTTCCCAACAGTCACCCGAACAACAGCAGCAGCAACAGCAACAGCAGCAGCAACAGCAGCAGCTGTTGCTGTGTCCTTATTGTTACCCAAACAATTCTTACAGAGGCCCTCATCAGTCTCCTGGTGCTGCAGCTTCAGCAGCAGCAGCAGCAGCAGCAGCAGCAGGAGCAGCAGCAACAGCAGCAGGAGCACCCCAAACAGCAGGAGGAGTGTATAAAGTTGAGGATATAGTATATAATAGATTAGAGATAGGAATAGGAGGAACAGGAGGAGCAGCAGCAGCAGCAGCAGCATCAGGAGGAGGAGGAGCAACAGGAGCAGCAGCAAGTTCATCAGAGACAGCATTATTACGTTTGCTGCTGCAGTATGTATGGTGGTGTCTTGGTACATTGCTGCTGCCTATTGTCCCTTTTATTGGTAAATTATTATCCTTAATTAATTTCTCCTTAATGTTTTCCTTTAATTGCTTCGGGTGGACAAGGAGACGCAGCAGATATCTATTGCTGCTGCAGCAACAGCAGCAGCAACAACAACAGCAGCAACAATACCACCACGTCGTTTTGCTCCAGCAGCATCAGCAGCAACAGCAGCAGCAGCAACAGCAGCAGCAGCAGCAGCAGCAGCAGCAAAAGGTATCTTGGAGTAAATATAATACACAAGAATGGATAGATCAACATGCTGCTCTTGGTGCTCCTACTAACACTGTCCTTGCTGCTGCTGCTGCA